CACGTTGCTTGCACCTAGTAAACATAAACCTGTATTTTTTATCTGATTAGAAATTGTATTTCAATTAAAAGTGCACTAAATCTTGCTACTTGAATTGAAATTGCATGTCCTACCTTTAGGCCCTGTTTGGTACATATTATTTTTTTCATTTTCATTCTTCTACTCATTTTTAATCACACATTCTTCAATAAAATAATATTTTCCATCACATCAATAACTTTTCTTTCATTTTTAACTACACATTTTCCATCAATCTATTATTCAATAATACATTCTTTCAAAAAATGTGTCTCAAACACACTCTTAATAGGAAACTCTTTCTTTTTTTTTTACCCAATTCTCATCCAATTTCTTGTAAGGCACGACTCGCACTTCTAAATACTCACAAATTCTATTAGATTAGGTCATAAGGAAGGGTGGGTGGGTGTATAAGCCAATTTCATCAATTAATATTATTGTTAAGTGTATGTGCACATCCATTTATTCAACGCAGAAGATTTGGAACGTGTAATCAAGATTTTCAAAGGATGATAATCCACTCGAGCCTTCAAGAAAGGAAAATCAGCATGATGACTTAACAAACTCCAAGAATTTCGAGCATCCTTATCTCTCCATAGACTCTCACGGTTGTTAGACATACCAAGCTGTGTTATGTTGCCAATAGGTTTGAGATAGGATTACAAAGTGCAAGTGATTTATCTCGTTTAATTTATTTTTTCATATTGATAAATATTATGCTAATGAAAATTATGATATGATATAAAATGGTCACCCTGTACCAAAGATATGATATATTATGAGTTCTTACAGATTTCTAAAGATATGATGTGATCATATGATATTTTTTACACATGATTTAATATTTTTATCTGAGATTGCACAATTACTCGTGTCATATTGAATATTCTTATATACTTATTTGTTTTCCCTACGCCTCTTAGATTAGAATGAGTCGTTGGTTGACGAGCGAAGATGTATTGTCGTTGTGCTAGAATTCTTTGGACTCAATAAAGTAAATTTGAAATAACGTGGCGAAACTTTATTCCCAATAGCAACTTTAATTTCATTATTATATGAATTTTTTTTTTTTTAAGTTGAACAAGGTTTTACTTGGTTAGATTGGTTATGTGTCGTTCTTGTTGTGCAGCGACGAACATTGGCTAGTTTTAAAATAGGTTACATTCCGTTTGCTAATTAAATTTTCAAGATAAGTTATTTCTTAATTTGACAGTAAAGAAAGTATTAGAATCCCACATTGTTTGTGAAAATATAAATGATCCACTTAATAAGGTGATAACAATCTTCCCCTAATAAGCCGGTTTTATTAGGTGGAGTTAGACTCAATATTCATAACTTGGTATCAGAGTTAGGCCCAATTAT